ATGATAAGATCAAAAAGAAATAGGAAGTCAAAAGAGATGAAAAAGTCTGGGCTACAACCTCAGGTCATCAGTGGGTTTAAACCTAAATCCCTCTAATCAGCTTCAGCAGACAGGGGGAGACAGACCAATCCATTTGGCCAGAGATCCCATTATGACAGGAGAAAGAAATGGAAAAGGTAGCAAATTGAACACCCCGAAAAAATAGCTCTAAGTGTGTGCATGTGTATGTGTGTGTTGAAACAGGTGATCAAAATCAAACCCAGTAAGAAAACCGATAAAGCAAGAGTAGTAATGAGTCATTAGTGTGATTTGTCTCCAAGATGAAGGAGCGCGAGTTAAGAGCGTGAACGTGGGTGTGTTACAAAACCTGAGACAAAATGATTGAAAAAGAGACTCGGTGTATGTGTGTGAACTTCTCTGTGGCTCCTACTGTTGAACTGATGTCACAATTCAACTCATTTATTTTGATTTCCCTCAGAAGAAGAATGAGACTTTTCTATAAGCGAAAGAACAGCAGACTACTACTGCGTCTGTTTCTGCTGCACCTACATCTCTGAACACACACACACACACACACACACACACTCCCTCCCTTTGTATGCTGGTCTGTCTGAGAGCCTCCTTTGCCCTCTCTCCTTTAGTTTCTCTTTCCCCCTGCGCTCCCAGGGGAGCTGTGTACTTAGGTGCAGTTGAAAACGACTATCAAACCCTGAGGAGCAAAACCTGATTCAAAGACTCCTTATCCAATAGTGCAGCCATCTCCAAGTGCTTTGCGGCTCTTCCCCAGAGACAAACCAAATGAAATTATGTCTTTTTATCCATTCAAGTGGGAAGGCAGCCAGAAGAAACCAGGAAAGTAAAGAACAGTCTGACATGTAAATGTAAATAAGGGCCTCCAAAGTGGATGCTTACTGCGTGGCACAACAGATGAGTGAATAAAATACCAATAGGCTGACAGTGTACTTAAGTCATACAATATTATTCTGCATCTTAAGGTGTAGTGTTGTGATATTTTGAGTATGTGTTTTATTTTCATAATTACATACTTGCAATTTACACGCATTCAAATTGCTATCATGGATGGTGATCTTTGACCGAAAGGGTTTTGGTGCAAGGCAGTAAAGTAACTATTTAAACTGCCAATGTACTTATTACAAAACGCCAGGTTATATGAGTAGGTGTAATTTTCTGCTACAGTAAAATTATCCAAAGATGTTAAGTCACCTTTTTTTGTTTCCTCTTTCATGGCAACTCTATTCACTTCAGTTGAGTTTTCAGTCGTATGAATATGTGTGCACCTGAAAAGGAACCTGGCAGTATTTTTCAGCCCTTTTAGTAAGAAAGCAGGGAATCCACTTTCACCATCATTTTCTGCCAAGCTCAGGTACAGTAGGAGAGTGAGCAATTAAAATGTAATATAACACAGGAATTAGGGCTAACCTCAGCAGTTACTGAGATCTTTTCATGTAACGTGTGCTGCAACTCAAATTAGCTCTCTGGAGACATTTATGTCTAAGTTTAAACACTGGCTCTTTGGATCAGTGTTATCTCAGAGCAAAAGAGTTTTCTAACAACTGTTACGCAAAACATGATTCAACCAGTTTTCCTCATTTCCTGTGTCAGTTCAATAGGAATGTTGTTTTGCATTGCGAAACAATGCCTTATATTTTTGAAAACACAACACGAGTGTGAAATCATTTTATGCTAACCTTTAATCTGTGAATTTATTACCTCTGCCAAGGGAGGGGGTTGTGTTTTGCTGGCATTTGTTGGTGTGTTTGTTGCTTTGCTCACACCACATCATAACTTGAAAAGTAATGAACAATTTTTATTACTTTTTTCTTCTTTTTTTGGTGCTGTTCAGTGTCATCATTCAGATCCAGGGATTTTTTTAAAGGATTCTTCATCACTGTGAGTGTTGGAAAAGCTGCTGACTGTATGTGAGCCCCCTGATGGCCAACGTGTGTGGCTGCGCTGCTGAGCGCCTTGATCACATACGGAGACAAAGCCCTAAGTCAGTCACAGCTGCCCATTCACTGTCAATGAAAATTGACTACTGTCACTTAGTGCACTCCACTGTGCGAAACAACGACTGAAGGAGCCAAGCAAGGCGACAGCCCAAAGCAAAGACTTATTCTATGCGGCTACAGCCGGTTGAGAGCCACTCAGGCTTATATTGATTCCAGATGGCACAGATTTTGAGCCAGGCTCAAAGCTGCTATCATTTTCATCCTAGAACTGGTTTTATGCCACTTTATTAAGTTTTGACATTTTTTCAGGTCAGAAAGTAACCACTTTGTAACAATGCCAATTTAGAGAATTGTTTCTCTGTTTTCAGAAATGTGTGCACTCATTAGCAGACCTTAGCTCGTTAGCTCTATTAGCAGGCCAGCTACATCTCATTCAGAGCATGTTGTCAAGGACACCATTGTTCCAGCTGCACATTATGAGTACTGCATCCTCCCATTCTCTGGAGTTTGGACTTCTAGTTCAGACTTGGTACTACAATCGCCTACTGCGATTGTAAATAAGCTGTGCGACAGGAAATGGAGTAAAGCACATACAGTACATAGTACAGTGTATATGTCACATATGTCCAACTGGACAAAACACACCCTCAGAAGTACAGCATTGCCAGAATCCAGAAACTTTGTCTCTCTGTGTGTGAACACTCTGTAATAAGTATAGCAGGAGGCACACTGAAAAACGGACTCTAAAATGGGTTTACATGCAGCCAAATGGTGTGAGGTTTGTGTGTCTATGAAGAACTGTAAATACAGTGTTATGCCAGTCAGCATGGGGCATTTATTTTGCTCATGTCTATCATTTTTCTTGAATAACTTTCAAACTAATGATGATGTTGTCATTCCAAATGCCAGCCGTAGGTTTTCATGGTCAAGCAATCTTATTAAGATAGTAAAACTATCATTGGAATACTGCTTTTACATGTAATGGCATTATGGGAACAACTTGGCAGAGGTTTCATTTAATTGCTATGATTTGCTGTGATTAGGCCAAATTCATTGTCTCAGCTACATAATCACTACATGAAATTTAGGATGATCTGTGTTGGAAAGGCTGTTTAAAGTTATTTTTGCTTTTGAGATGTTGTTTTATCAGTTTTTGCATTAAGTATAACACCTGTAAAAAAAAAAAAAAAAAAAAAAAAAGCTGTTTAATAAAAGTTGCCAAAAGGGACAGTGTACATTTTTATTCAAGTCACCCTTCAACCACTGACTGCAGACTGTGGAGGAGTGCATGTACCCATCAGACCATTCTGTTCTGCTGTCTGTCATTCACAGTCCTAGGCAATTTCAAAAAGTGTCACATCTGTAATAACTGACTTTTCTGTAGCACTTTCAAGTTATTTCCACTTGATGATTTCTATTTTTTTTACATTTTTTTTCATGCTCTCTTGTCTTCATTTTGTCATTGTGTCTGTTCTCAGCTCTAGCAGCCCTCTCTCTCAGTCTCACATCTTTGTATTCACTTCAGGTTGAGGTTAACAGCCATGTTGCATACCTCAGCAGCTGGTATGCCCTCCGGAGGGCGACACTGCAACAGCACTTCCTGCTCCAGAGAAACTTCCTTCCCCAGGGGTTCCTGTTCAAATGACTTCTTCAGGTCTGTGGAGAGACACAGTGAGAAACAAAAAAAATAAATAAATAAATAACTTATTAGGTGAACCACAGAGCATATGGCAATCTTAGCAACAGACTGTTTTTGACAAGCTATGGAGATGCATTTACTTTTTTTAATTTTCAGTGCATTTATTAAATCTAACATGACAATATTTCTGTATTTTAAAAATTATTGTTATTCATTGTAGCATGGACATTGTACTGTTACTGGACAACATAGATTTAATAAGTGATGAACCCTTGATTTTTCAGGGGTAGACTACAAAACATATGTGTTCATGTAGTATTAGGTTATTTAATCTCTAAATCCTGAACACATGATACACAACTGCAAAACCAGTAATTATATCAAAAGAGATGAAGTCTCAATGGAAAACTGAGGTATGTGGGTGGCCATTTTGCGAAACATCCTGTGATTCAGCAGTTAGGGAAACCATTTTGGAGATGGTGCCATGTCACTGTAGACTGGATTCATTACCTCATTTCCAAAGAAACAATGACACAGTAATTATGGAGTTGGTGGTTGAAGTCAGTCATGCATACTATGCTGACTTCTCCCACTTCCCTGTCACTGTTAAAGATGTACCAAACTAGGAAAACCACTTAGCTGTATATTCTTGTGTGCTCATGCACACAAACACATGTCATTTGCATTTTAATAATATAGCAGTTAATGCTTTCTTTCTCTCTCAGGCACACACACACACACACACACACACACACACACACACACAGAGCTGATCATGCTATTAAATGCTTTAGCTGCTTCACACACGGAACAGTGACTGCTTTGTTGCATGCTTGCCCCTCAATCACTAGGCACAATATTTAATCATGCTTTCATTCCATATAGACTTGCCAGAGTTCGGGGAGCTCAAGCAGGCCAAAGACAATACATGATTCACACTAATGGTCCACATGTTGTGATAAATGACAGCATTACAAAGCAGCATGGAATGCACTGCCATTTCATTTCAGAGAGCTCAGCTGTTTTCATTCTGGGAAAAAATGCTCACAGTAGCAGACTTTAAGACAATTAACCAGACATTTAAATAAGAACAACAGAAGACAAAAGAGAAAGGGATCGAGAGAAGGCATTAAAGGATATGAAGGAAAGTGCAAAAATCCTTGTGGGTGGATGGATGAATAGACAGAAGTGCAATTTTATTTGATCATTACCCTGAATATTTCTCTCACTGCCACTCTTCCCTCCATAGTCCTACACAAAAGCCTGAATTGTATTTACTGAGAAAGTTCAAAAGGTGCAATGACTATTCAGCTGTTTGTCTGGTCTTCTTGTCTTGCTTCTGTAACTCTGAGTGAGTTTCTATTAAAAAAACTTTTTGCATCATTTCAGGACTTATCAGGTGACTGTAGATGTGATGCTGATCAGATGGAGTATTGGATTTCTAAATAAAACATGGAAAGAGAAAAGTACTGTGTTTTTCCTCCAGTCTTCTGGGTGTAAGTCAATAGGGTATGATCTGATTTCTTTTAGGACTAACAACCCCAAAAAGGATCTGCAAAGTTCTCGACTGAATCCATTCAAATTCTGTGAATCAATGAAAGTGATTAAGTCAAGAACTGCAGCATACTTGGAGTTAAATTAAGAAAAAAAACACACCGTCTGCCAACTTCTTCTATCACAAAGTGGCCACAATAAATCAGTGTCATATCATGAATTTAACTAATGTCAGCAAGTGAGAATGATGATTACATTGGCTTAAAGTGATGCATGTATTTCAAAGTGATATCTAGGTTTCTTTATATGGCAATATTAACAGCCATATGACTCTAAATTGCCTGTGGGGGTATGTGGTTGTCTGTCTCCAAGTGTCAGCCCTGTAAAAGACTGGCGACTGGTAGACCCCGCCTCTCACCCAATGTCAGCTGGGACTGGCTCCAGCCCCCCAGCGACCTTATTCAGGAATAAGCAGTATAGATAATGGATGGATGGATTAATAGCCATATTGTTTTTGCAATATTTTGATTTGATCTGGCACATAAATTTAGTAAGGAACTTTTTCAGAGTTTGAGAGTCACTGTGTCACAAACTTTGTTCAGTTTGTGAAGGATGGCTGCAGCCTCTGCCCTTTACTTTTTAAAGTCACAAAGAAAACTTTCATAGGAGGGCACACAGTGTGTGCACATGTGTGTGTTTGCATTATCTTTGCACCCTTTTATTCTCCTCGTTCCCAGGTGTACTCTTAATCATCTTCTCTGTCAGCTGCGGTGCACCATTTGTGGACACACACTATATAGAACATTTTTTAAAGCTGAACCAGTCGACTTTGAGTCACTCGCTGGGTATTTCATCAGGACAGTCACCTTACAGTGGCTAACAGACATAGAGGGTGGCAGAATGAAAGAAAAGAAGAAAATGGGACATGAGAGACAGGGAAGGTACAAGTTAAGACAGCAGGTGGAGGGATGAAAGACGAGACAGAAAGAGAGAAGAGGTAGGAGGGAGACGCTGGCGGCATTCAGCAGAGCCACCTTACTCTTTACCAAAGGTACCTGCTTATCTTTATCTAACAGTATTTTTCGTGTTCACCACACTCTACAAGTACAGTATATCAAAGCATTCACTATAATCTCATGTCAGTGAATTCAACCTTCAATCTATCAAACCTTCCAACCATCAAGCTGGTTTTGATTATATCTCCTTCATCCCAGTCTTATTCTAAAGGACAGGGGGAAGATGGTGTGTCTAGCTTACAAAAGTTTAAGATGGTTGAATCAAGGCTTTAAAAATATTTCACTGACACGGTCTTCATTTTAAATCATTCGAATTTTTGACCATTACTCAATCAAAACAATTACATATTTCTATTTGTATACAAATTTTTCATATTAAAAAAAAAAATCACGAAAGTATGTACGGCCTATTTTACCCACTGATGTATGTGCATGCTTAATTATTTGTAAAGGGGATAACTGCCTATTGATCTCCAATGATGCTATGACTGACTTGGGGCAGACTTGGGACCACAAAGTAACTTATTTCCAGCCTATCATAGAGTTTCAATAACCTATATTGCAATATAAATAAACTATAAAGCCAAGAGTTGCTCAGCAGGAGGCGAAGTACAGACTGATGCAAGATAATAGACATTTGAGTCCATATACTGTGTGAACAAGGCGTTCCAGATGATCATACTCTTTCTTGTCATACACCACTGACTTCCAAAAATCTCCACATCTTCCCACCTAAATGATGAGGTTTAATTTCAAGAAATATAAACAAGTTCACTCTCACATTCTATGTTTAGAGCTGTACTGGTAAAAAGAGTTATGTGAGGACACAGAGCATTACTGAGGCTGAATGATAACTTCATAATACAGTCAATCCCTGTGGGGGATGACAGCCTGAACAGAGCATGATGGTTCATTATGGGAGTAATCACCCAAAGCTTTAGCCCTAAATCCACCACATGTCTACCCACACAATGCACCGAGACACACGTATGGTACAGTACATGGACAGATAGTCAAAGACAAAAAGAGAACAAGACAGAGAGATACTGTCACGTTGAGGAAAATACTCACAGGAGATGGAGACAAACAAGCAGTCACAACACACGGAGCCAGAGCAATCACTTCCACAACACAAACTGTAAAATATGCACAGTGGGACAGGGAAACAGACTCGCACACATAACCACAAATGTGCAAAAAAACAACTGCAGACACGAGGAGAGAATGAGGAAGTGATTGAGGGACAAGACACTTCTCTCATGCCAAGCCAATTCCAGGAACAATTTCCTGGTCTTAATTAGTAGGGGAGATGGTGAAATGAGGAGTTGGCTGCGAGAGTTGATTTCCATAAAGATGGAGAATGAAATTAAAGGAGATTAAAGCAAACGGCTCAGAGGATGAACACACAACACACACACTAACAAATAGTGCAGTGTTAATCTGACAGGCAACATTTCACCAGTGCAAGAGCGCTGTGTGTGACCGTGTGTGCGTTTTAGACCAAAAAAAAAAAAAAAAAAAAAAAAAAAAAAAGGAATGTGACATTGTATTCATGACACAAGGGAACTATGAATTCAGTGGAAGGTGATATGTATGTGCCCGTGGGAAATATGTGCACAGGAGAGAAGGGACAGCTGTGTCATATCAATTCACTGACCCCACTTCACTACCAAAGTGCAGATAAAGTAAATGTAACAAAAGCAAAGATATATTCTCTAAACAACTTTTTAGAATTACAACAGGGTTGAAAAGTACAGAGGGCAACCTTGTGGGGTGTTCTTCAGTGTGTACTCCCATATATACACAAAAAGCAGTGTAAGCATCTATTAAAAAATGACCTCTTCTTGCATAACCTCCCATCTCTCTCTGTTTCAGCGTCTCTCTCCGCCTCGTTCCCTCTCCTTCTAAAACTTCATCCAATATTCAACTAAAACTGTATTATGTTTGTGGTTAGTTTGTTGCCTCAGGCACCTCTACATAAGCACATTTCAGAGCAATTATCCAAAATGGGCGTCTCTGCCTGAACGCTACCCATGCCAAATCGTAAAGGTCTCCCCTGGAGAAGCTGCTTGAGCAATAAAGAGCAATGTGAGATGCTCGGGAAGAAAAGTACTCTGCTTTAGTCTCTGAGACGATAATTTCCAGAACAATGGCATGCAACGGAGATCATACATCTGGCTAAGTAAATGGATTTATACTTTAATTATACTATTACAGTATAATTAAATGTATTTGTTGTAAATTATACAAACAATGAAAACAATAAAACAGTTTGTGTGCACATAATAATAATGAGGTGAAACTGTTCTCTTCTCAGTTTGCATCTCCTGATAGGAAAGTTGTATCATGTTGTGATTTTGCCAGATGCCCTTATGTGCTGTATGTAGTAGTATACACACAACTAAGGTGCATGTCCTACGTAACATACAGCACCATAAAAGTGTCCTCAAATGCCAATACAGCTCAAAAATATGGCAAATGTAAGAACTAAAGGTAGACTGTGACCT